GGATTTATTTACCGTTTACGGTCGCTAGACACTATTTTCCGTCCATAGACCACATTTACCGTCGATGAACAGCATTCATTATCGCTAGATTGAAGCCCAGGACATCTTACACTCAATGCTTTTAATAACAATACGCTACACGGAACACTACACGGACGAGGGGCTTGGGAACTAGACAAGCTTTCAACTCAACATGATAACCCAATCATCATTACACGCTCCTGTTTATTGATTGAATGCTCTCGATCAATCAGATAATGACAATCATTGAACAAAGTGTAGGTGAATATCTTGTACACGCTGATTCTGATTTATGCAAAAATCCACCCGATAATCTTGATGATCTTGCGATCTGCTATGATACTACCTTAAAAAGGACTCTGAACAAACACGCACCACTTGTAACGAGAACAATAATAAAAAGACCACGCGTTCCATGGTTTATTGAAGAAATCAGGGTTTCAAAGCATGAAAGACGAAGAGCAGAGAAAAAATGGAGAAGGACTGTCTGCAGTAGACCTAGGTAACTTCAAAAAGAAAAGGAACTTAACAATTGCATTCATGGTAAAGCTCGAGCTGATTTCCACACGGATTTCATTGCTGAAAATAGTCACGACCAGGGTAAATTATTTCGTGCTGCAAGTTCATTGCTGAAAAAGCCAACTTCTAATAGATTGCCAACTTCTATTGATGCTTCATGTTTTGTTAATGACTTAGGATCTTTCTTCGTTAAAAAGATATCCGATCAGTCCGAAGTCGTCTTCATGCTGAAGAAGTCTCCGTTCAACCTAGATCTGCTCCTCCTCTTCTTCCACCTGATGTTATTATGAAGGAGTTTAAAGATCTCACAAAGGAGGATGTCAAAGCCCTCATATAACGCTCATCCAGGAAATCTTATCTATTGGACCCAATGCCATCGTGTGATGAGCTTCTACCTGTAATCACACTGTTAATTAACAATTCCCTTAGGACTGGCGTTTTCCCTAGAGTATGAAAGGAGGCTCTAGTTACTCCGTTACGGAAGAAGCCTGGCGCCGACATCAACATATTTCAGAATTTCAGACCAGTCAGTAACTTGTTGTTTATGCCAAAGCTGGCTCAAAAAGCTGTTTTCAACCAAGTACAAAACCATCTTTGGGTCCACAACATCTATCCGGATCAGCAATCTGCTTACCGAAAGAATTACAGCACAGAAACACTTCTATTGAAACTGAAAAACGATCTTCTTGTGAATACGAAACAACATGTGACCCTGTCAATACTACTAGACTTGAGCGTCGCATTTGACACAATAGACTCTCAGATGCCGCTCTACGATGGTTAAAGTCGTACCTTCAAAATTGATCTCAACGTGTTACTGTCAATGGTGCCGAATCACGATCACTTAGTTTGGAATTTGGTTTGCCACAGGGGAGTTATCTTGGCTCGATATTATTTACAATTTACGCTGGAGAGCTACTTGAGATCGTCAAACCACACCTACCGACTGTAAATGTGCTACGCTGACGACACTCAATTGTACATGTCTTTTAGTCCAAAGGAACAAACTGGCGAGGTTGAAGCCTTGGCGAACATGGGAAAATGTATCAATGATATCCATAATTGGATGAAAGATGTCAAACTTAAATTGAATTCTGATAAAACTGAGCTGATACTTATTGGCCCAAAACAACAACTGGCCAAAGTAAAAACTACGCACCTCAGTGTAGGAAACGACCAGATAACACCAAGTAAAGTAGTTAAGAACTTAGGGGTGTGGCTAGACCCATCACTAACAATGAACACTCATATAAATAAAACCTGTAGTACGTATACAGCTTTTTATCACCTATGTAATTTACGTAGAATAAGGAAATATTTAACACAAGAATCGATTGAAATTCTGATTCATGCATTAATTTATAGTCGTATCGACTACTGCAATAGTTTATATTTTGGGCTGCCAGACTATCAAATAAATAAGTTAGAAAGAGTGCAAAATGCAGCGGCAAGGTTGATATTCATGGAAAGTAAATATTGTCATATATATTACTCCATTACTTTTTAAACTTCACTGGCTGCCCATTCGTCAACGTATTTTATTCAAGATCCTTCTGATCACGTATAAGGCAGTTCATGGGCTTGCACCTAATTATATACTAGAATTAATGAAGTTAAAGATCCCCGGAAGATACAGATTACGATCTTGTAATGATGATCTATTACTGGAATTATCAAAAGGGAAGATGTACTCCACACTCGATGTACATCCACACTCGGTGATCGATCTTTTCAAACAACCGCACCAAAACTTTGGAATGTTGTTCCATATTATATTAGAAATTCAAAATCGTTGAATCTTTTTAAAAAATATTTAAAGACGCATTTATTTAAAGAAGCTTTTAGTTGTTAAATATCGAATTACATTAGGTTAGATTATAGATATTTTTGTACTTAAACTACACTATTATACATTTTTAGATATTTCCTTGGGATATGTTTAGCATATACATAATTTCATTATTAGATTTTTTTTTCTTTTTCTATTTGTCGTTGTTTGAGTTTTTTTCAGTTAGATTTTTATAACATTTTAGTTTCTGCGCTGATGAAAATGTAGATTTATATTAGTGCAATATAAGGTAATATTCTTGATAATATTCTTATTCACTTCCAAACGAGCCAATCGAAAAGCACTATTCACTTGCGTGGAAGATACTACAGGCTGAAATTTTCAGTGTATTACTTTTAGTATACACACAGGTTGACTAAAAGCGGTTTATCAAGAAGAGCTTTTTCTTGATAATAACCTTACTTCTGAATCAAACAAGAAAATTTCTTCGTTACATATGAATAAAAAAAGAAAATTCAATAAGCAAAACAATTTATTTGATATAATAATATACATGCAGAACTTTCAGCGTGCTCATTGACCGAAAAAAAACTTAATTAATCCCAAACTCGTAAATGTTTTTAAGAATACGAATCGAACTCACCCTAGGGGTTCGGGCAAACATCACCGTTGGTTAGCCTTGGAAAAATTTACTCGTGCTGATTTATCATAGAATGTTACCACTTCTGCAGCAGCGTACTTATTATGTTATTACAGTAACATACCTATCATTAGAAAGCACCACCTTACTGTCCTTAGTAACAAAGACAGACCATGCGCATTTCATTCCAACATTAAACGAGGTTATAACATTCCATCGAAGGAAAACACTTTAAGTCTGCTGTTCTCAGAGTCACACGCAATCAGGTTGTTAAACTTGTCAATAAAGGCTAAAAGTTTCTAAAGAAACTGTGGTGCTGCGTCGGTGGGGGTCACAAGGTAATTTGGTTATAGCAACTCAGTTGAAATTGTAAATTGGCCACCGTAATGAATATAAAAAAGCTGACGTTTCGAGCGTTAGCTCTTCGTCAGAGCGAATGGAGGAATTGTGGGCTGTATGTGGGTTTAAATGTAGGAGCGGAGGTACGCCATTGGTGGGAACATGGCAACGAGAAAAACACAAATAAATTAGTGGAATGAACAGCGTTCGTTGATACCTGTGGGATTAAGAGTGCCGATTTGAAAGATTAACTTTCGTTCAAGAGTTTTGCGGCTTTCCGTGTTGCCTAAATGTAAGGCAAGACCGCAGATTGCCATATGTTGCTTAGAATGATTACTGAAATTAAAGTGTCTAGCGAGTGGTTTTCATGCGTCCTTATCATTCCTTTCTACGTCGCGAAGGTGTTTTCGGAATCGGTCACCTGTTTCGCCGATGTATAACTTTTTGCAATAAGTGCAAGTTATGCAATAGATTACGTTGGCGAAGGTGCACGTGAAGTGATCCGTGATCTTAATGGATTGCTTGGGTCCCGATATTTTCTCAGCGTTGTGAATGAAGGGATAAGTTTCGCATCGTGTGCGAGCGCATTTAAAAGTGCCGGGTTGGTCATTAGTTTGGAATGAACTTCTGACCAAAAAATTACCTGTGTTTTTGTCGCGTTTGAATGAAATAAGTGGAGGTTGCGAAAGATAGTGCAAGACTCAGCTCTGGATCGTTTTTAAGTAATTTAGAGTTTTTAAGAATAATGGAGTTAACTGTGTGGTTGTGAGGGTGAAACGTGAGAGTGAATGGAATGCGGTCGGAATATTCCTTCTGTGACGTTTGTAGTGCTGACTGTCGATCAATAAGTTGGGCGCAGTGGTAACCCGCTTGAACGACAGAAACAGGGTAACCACGTTTTTCGAAAAACTAGCACCGTTGACTCTCATTTGTGGGAAAAATCAGAGTCATCACTACATAAACGACGAAGTCTTAGAAACTGAGAAAAGGGAATGGAATTCTTAACATGAGGTGGATGCGAACATGAATACAACAAGTAACTATGCGAGTCTGTGGGTTTGTAATACACACTAGTGGATAAACCGTTGCCTTCAATTGAAACTTTGATAACTAAAAAGGATAAAGAATTGTCGGAAATTTACCGGGTATATTTTAGAGCCGGGTGAAAAGAATTCAGTTGACTGCCGGCAGGACGTTTTAGCTGTACGTCACCAGGTCCCTCCCTGCCAATATCACGCATAAATTCTCCTCCTTTGCTGGTTAGTCCAGTAATAGGACACAAAAGACTTGCATATGACGCGGGGAAGCAACACAGTCTGGTGCATTAAAAGGACTGTTTCACCAATACCACAAGATCGTGTACCCATCCTTCTAATTGACGAGCTCTGTGGATTAATCAGGTGATGCTTGATGCCTTTGATAAACTGACCACGTTCAGTAAACAGCAACCTTTTAAATGGGTTTGAGAAAGTCTTCGCAAATGACAATGACGTTACCAGATGTCAAGGGTGCCACAGATGTTTGTTTGTCCTATTCTTTCAGCACCAGGCCCTTTATCTCCGTTCGTTCTTAGATATTTCCAACCAGAATAAAATAACTGAATTTGACCATTATAGCCATCTGCAATTTTTCTTCTTCGATTATGCATCAAGTAGAGCTAGTTATGATTTACATATTTTGATATTTCGTGTCTTCAAAAGTTCCTCGCATTGACCAATCACAGTATTTCCTGGCTACTTGCAGAGTGTTTGTCTCTAAGTGGTAGAGGATGATTTGCTGAGTATACATTCAATTAAAAGATGAAGAAACTCGGATAAGACTCACAGATAAAAATTGGAACATTTAAACTGCTGTTTCATGTTCACACTCTACTGGAATACATGGATAATATCTTTATAAAAATCAGAAACCACCAACTTATTGTCTTTAGTAACAGCGATAGAGCTGGGAAATTTAATTCCCTCATTAATCGAAAAAACAAACTTTCCATCTGAAGAAAACACCTGAAGTCTGCTGTTCAAAGAATCACACACAATGAGGTTACTAAAACTGTCAAAGGCGAGTCCTTCAGGACGCCTTAACTGTCCGTTACCGGTTCCCTTCGTACCAATATCATACAAATACTCTCCTTCTTTGTTGAACACTTTCACGTGGCTAACCAAGCCATAGGTCGCAAAAACTTTGTCTTCATGATAAACAGCATACCATGGGGGCTGACCACAGCCTGGTTCTCTGAGGGATTGTAATAATCTTGAACCATCAGGGGATAGGACCTTGACTGACTTGTCGCCAGAGTCACACACGATCATGTAGCCATCACTTCCAACAGATACACGCTGTGGATCAATTAGGTGCTTAATAAAGTGCTTAATAAATTGACCATTTTCAGTAAAAAGAGACATTTTACTTCGCTGAGAATGCTCTCCATGAATTACTATGACATTCCCAGATGTTGTGAATGCCACTGATCTTGAATTTCTTATTCTCTCAGCATCAGGCCCTTTATTTCCTATCGTTCTGTTATATTTCCACTCAGAATCAAACAGCTGGACTCGCCTATTACCATTGTCTGCTATGGCAATATTTCCAGTTCTCTCACTCACTGCAATACTGCATGGATTTTTAAACTCTCCCAGTCCTTCCCCGTGTGATCCAAATGAATAAAGAGCTTTGTACTGATGACCAGTCACCTGAACTCTCCAGGGACTACCAGTCAGCGGCTTGCCATTTACTTCGACAACGATGTCAAGTAAGCCAACACTCTTTGGCTTGTAATGCACAAGGTAGTTTCCATCTCGACAATCTTTTTTCATTTCTTCATCTTGACCTCTTGGAAGCCGGTGGATTTTCACAGTCACTCGGTCTTCTTTGTTATAAACCTTATTTCCCTCTGAATCTCTTGTAATGACTGTGAAGTCGGCTTCATTGCCAATTTCCGCTTGTCTCAGACCATTTCCTACAGCCGATGATTGTGAAGGATCAGTGTAACTCGCGATCACTTGAACAAATTGTTTAACAGTATTCATAGCATCTGAGTTTACAAAACAAGTAACATGCCGTGGTTTACATATTTCAATATCCTGCGCAGCTAACAGTTCCTCGCATGGACCAAAAACATCTTTTCCTTGCAGAATTTCAAGGCTGCTGCTTCTTTTTTCGATACGTTCGCAACATTTACAACAACTCTTCAACTGGGCAGCGTATGACTGAAAAGCGTCAAATTTTTCAGCGTATGTTTTTTGTTGTGTGTCTTTAATTTCTCTTAGCTTACCCTTTACGGTCTTTTCACGCTCCTTTAAAATCCGAATGATTTCCTGCACAGTTTCCGTCACCTTCTCCTCGGTAGCGCAGATTTCTTCTTCGCTTTTCTTCATCAGTTCATTCTGCTCCATTATCCTTGTCTCCACAACCTCGAGTCGTGCCTTGACTCTGGCAAAGACCTGAGTCATTTTCATCTTTTCAGTTTCAGCGGCTTGTTGAATGTCTACTATGGTGTGTCGATTATGACTCACTATACCACACTTGTGGCAAATACAAACGTCGCAGTCTTGACAATAAAATTGCACTGCCACGTTTTCGTGATATTTTACCTTACACATGATGAGCTCTTGTTCCATTTCCTTGGCCACTGAGTCTTTACATGCTGGGAAATAAAGTAAAGTAGAAACACATAGAAGAGTATAGATTATAGAATTATAATAATAAGTTTGTCGCGTAGCATGTTTTTCCGATTCTGCATGCCAACGTAAGCAGCACCGAGTTGAGTTATTACCAGAAGGAGTTTGCTAAATATATTAGCTACTCTTGTAATTCATTCATTCCAGCTTGACACCTCGAAGCATCAACAATCTTACACCCAAGCCGCGAGCGATAGCCTTTATACTTGTGCCAACGTTAACAACCTTGTGAAATCCCCCATTGTGGTATAAGACTGAGGAGGTATGAAAACCGTTTCCCTCTTTCCATGGGGGGAGCATTTTATAGATATAAATTAATCTTGAAAGCAAATCGTGAGTTGATGAAAAATTGCTTATCGGTCCGGAAAAATCTGTGGAGCATTAGAGCCGAATGAAAATCGGAATTAAAAGGAGAACGGTGAGTCCAAAATAGAAATGTTCTCCTAACAATTCTTTGTTAAGAAAAGCCATAATTGCATATACCTCTGAATGTGTTTTCCTTTTTTTCCAAATCATCCAGCTTTTTTAAGACCTCATTTAATTGATCTTTCACGTTGTCTTCATCTTTCTTCCATTGTCTGAAAAGTTCCTTGTTGTGATCTGCAAGTCTTGGGTCCATGTTTTGAATTTTAAGATTGTCAATAGCTGCTTCGTACTTGAATCCTCCCAATCGAACCAGAGTGTCCCGGATATCGCCCCAGTATGCATCGAAAGCCGCATCATCGATTGACGCGCACTCCGCGTGAGCATACACGGTATTTCTGTAATATTTGACACGAGCGATATCAGCTTCGCGACTCACGTCTGTCCTAGCGGGAAGTGCATCCCAGCCTGTTGCGGGAGAAGGTAAACCGCATAAGTTTCGCAGCAAGATTATCAAGAGCGTGATATCAAAGTCTCTTGAGGAAACTGATGTAGAGATAGCAGGAAAGAGCTTTCCCCATTGCGTCGCGTCTATAAGCTTTTTCGTTCTTAGTATCCGTAACTTTCCCTCATTTCTCGCCAAAACTGTGTGAAGAGTTGAAGGCGGATGGAAAGCATCAAGTGTGTCTTTGAGGGCTTGGGTACCAATATCAAGTAACAACCGACAGAGGCGAGCGTAGTTCGTTGTCTCTTCGGTGGATAAATATTTCGGCACAGCAGAAGCCATGGACAGTTGCTAACATTCAAAATTGACAATAAAAATGTTAATACAATAATGACGACTCGCTTTTGGCTGGGACAACCTATTTTAGTATATTTAGTCAGTGCCACTGAATAATAGACTCTGGAGCCATCTTTCTCAGTTATTGGGGGCCTTATGCTGGTATTTACTGGATAAATAGATTCTCGGGGGGCTTACCGGCCTGGGCAACTCCTTTTTTGATAAATAAATCAAATGTCATTTTTTCTACAAACTCCAGTCGAATTCGGCCGAACGCCAACAAGAATAGATTACTCGGGATATGTAATATGATTAGATAAGGAAAATGTTGTGTACACTGAAGAATTATTAATAATGAATGACCCCAAGAATTCAAAAAGAATAGAGGGAACGATCTGGGCTTAATTATTTAGTTTTCACCCTCAATCCAGTCATGTCACCACAAAGATTTCTTATCATTTCTCTAAACCTTTCACATATGTTTTTTTTTTTTCTTTCTAACTTGAAGTACTGTGCTGAGTGAATGAGGCCGGAGAAAAGTTAAAAGGTCGTTGTTTTATTTAACTACAGACATGGGAGTCAATTACAGATAAAAACACATATGTTCAAAAATCTGTCAAGCCTACAAATATGAAAAATTATGCGGTATTCGGGGTGATGAAAGCAAAAATTAACAGTAAATAAAATAAGAATTGCATGAAGAAACATTGACTCATTGTTTATGTAAAGGAAAGCTCTATGTAAATTTGAAGCCGTCTACGAATCAAAACACAGCCATACGCTCTGTTTGCTACAAGTACATTCGTAACTGTATTTCAGGGTTATCTAGTTGAGTTACGAAGGAAAGAAGCCGCTTCCAAAGCTACCAAGATCATCCCAACATTAACTGAAGAGCCATGTACTCCAAAGTCTGACGGTCAACCAATTTAAACTCGTAACTTAGGTATTTGTGCAAAATGATTTTCCAGTTTTCTGAATGATCACGATGCTCTGTAAGAGAAGAAAGCAGTAAAATTCATACCTGTGGTAAAGACGCTTGAGCGGAGTTGCAGATTTGCAGCTTCAGTCACTCCGAAAGTTGCTAATATAGCTGTATCAGTACGATCTAATTCCAGCAAAACGTTAACAACAACAGCTCTTCTGTAAACTGAAGTATTGGTTAACTAACAAAAGGCTTAAAATACGATTGTAAATTTAAAGTTCCTAAATATCGCGTACAAAAGCGATAGCCTCGCGAATAGGTTGACAAAGATAACCACAATCACACAATGGCGATGGTTCGAGAAAAGCCTCTCACGCGCAGCGCTCTGAAAGGTTCCCTGATTGGTGCCTTTATAATATGATGTCAAACATTGGTTTAAGTCTCTCATCCCTCTCAAGATGGCGGAAAGCCATAGTTGGACAAAGCAGCACTCACTTTCATCAATGAGATCGGCTGAAAGTTAATCTACGGTGGTTCCCTTCATTCACTATTGCTTATAAAACTGTAGAAGTTCCGTTGGGGGCATCGTTACGGCAAGACGTTTAAAAGTTCAAAGATTTCGGCAACAATTTACGTTTTCTGTAAGGTACGGCAGTGATTTCAACTACTAATATCAGATCAACCGTCAGCGGCGAGATGAAATGAAAATTTCTGGACATAATTTAGCTGAACAATTTTCTGTAGTAAATACACCCATGGTGAAGACACTTCAGCTACTTGGTTTCCTTAAACGTCTTCTGGTTTTCTCCTTTGCTTGTATCTTTGGTCTTGGTTTCTTCCTAAAATATTGATTATCCACTTGCTGCTAGCGTAAAGGGCTTAAGTTTCTAAAGAAACTATGGTGTTGCGTCGGTT